GGATATCAGATATAAAAGGACGATCCGGCTTGTGGGTCATGTGAAGTTAGGGAACTGCGGATCTAGAGAACGTAGGTCCTACACCGCGGCACCAGGGACCCGGGACGTCATATGACGGACTTAATGGAACATGAGCTATCTCGCAAGTACGGTGATGAATACAGAGGCCTTCCGGCCGTCCGTTGATCTCCGCAAAATGATAACTCTGGCCTTTGAGAGATGTGAGAGAAATCCGAAGGTGTCTAAGGACCTTCAGGATGCGGAGGGAGGAAAAAAAAAAAAAATTAAGTGAATTCTAAATTATTTTATCGAGTTTGTTGCTTTAGAAATAAGTTACTTTAAGGGTTATTTAGAATGCAAACTAATTAAAAGCATTACATAAAGTGTTTATTAGGATAACTACTACAACAATGCAAATTCATTTTTTTAGATTTCAATGATTTTTATTGCACGCATTTTTGCAATTACATTTAACATTATCTACTCATGAAGGTGCTTATAAGAGTTGAAAGAATACTATCCAATCATGAAAACTTACCAGAACCAATGAACACATGTAAATTGAATATAGAGTTAATAAATGATTTTTTCTGTTATTGTATTTGCCGGATCTTGAATACAGAAATTAAAGTCTTCCCATGCAATTAAGATTTCACATTGTCTATTAGTCGATTTGCTGCTAAGAGATTTGGAAAGCAATTTATCAAATGTATTACGGAAGAAAAAAATTTGATTATCGGATAGAAAGAGTTGTAAAAAAATTAATTTGCAGTTAAATATTTTGACTATAATAATATGTAATACTGATACTCTATCATTACGTCAATCAAATCAATTGCAGTATCAAATTTATAATCAAAGTTGCTTTTAGATTTTGTATCAACATAGACTACAACCTAGTTAATTGCATATCGTATATATCTTTCATAGTGCTTGTGGTCAAATAGTTGTGCGAAGCATAGTATAACTAAGACCGAATGGATAGCGTAATTATGATATTTCATTGTGGTGCACTTATCGCTGGTAAAGAATAAAAATACGTTCCACAAATTGGAAGTCACATTACAAAAATCTAATGTTTATTATAGTAACTGTTTTCGATGACTCGCAAACATTTACAATATATGGGTGCCGCCAAGAGAAAACCAGGAATTCTAAAAATAGACTTCCATCCACAGCGAAGTTGCGGGGTTTTTTAATCGGTCAATGTAATAACATCGTGTTATTACATTGACCGATTAAAAAACCCCGCAACTTCGCTGTGGATGGAAGTCTATTTTTAGAATTCCTGGTTTTCTCTTGGCGTCACCCATATAATAAATTATTTTATTTAAAACTTCATGAAATTCAAATCTTTCTGTTCTCCTTCGAGTATAAATTTTATATAAAAAAACTATCTACCGAGAGTCTGAGAAGTCTCATGAACCTGAATAAGTAATTTTAATAATCTACAATTCTGTGATCACTTATTTATACATTTCATTTATTTATTAGTCATACGGGGCACTAGCCAAAGGAAATATTTAATTCAACATAAAGTAGAATTTCTGTTATATATAATTCAATGATATCAAACGGGGATCTTCCCAACGCTGCTTCTTTTAAATCGCATAAATAATGTGGAATAAAATACATAATAATATGAACATTCTACGTTGTTCTTCAATTATGATTACAGTATTACATTGATCTAACTGTATAAACTAGATGGTATCAACGGCGTACCCTATGTTAGATTGTGTATCATTTTTAAGCTTTTATGATATTGCGATTTGACATAAAAAAAGTCTGATTTAAGGGCATTTATGAGTACTAAACCTCATGACATGTATATTAAACTTTAGATCCGTCCAGACACAAAAAAATGTCTTTGAAACAGATAAAAATCCTGATGAAAAAAAGTTTTTAAACGGATATCCGAATAGAACTTCTCATCGAATTTGATCTAAGTTTTTCTATCGCATATTAAAGAAAAAAAGGATAGGTGCAATAAATTCTAATAATCATAAAAAAAATAATAATTACAATTAGAATTTTTAAGCCAAGATCTATGCACGAGAAGCCTTTTTTTTAATGAAACCCCGAAGTATTATACTACGGCAAAATCCGCCAAATACAAAAATATACTACATCTCAAACCAAAAAAAAACAATAGCATGCACAAATATAGAAAATTTCTTCTCATTTAAACATACATGAAAACCGCCAGTTTAATTACTAATTTATTTCACTTTTTACATCCTTAAGCAATCCTCTCAAACGTTCTACTTCTGCTTCCAATCCTTTCAGTCGTTCATTCTCAACCATCAATTCATGAACTTGATTTTCTAGTTGATCGCTCTTGTACCGTTTTTTATTACGATGGCGTCGAGCTGCTAATCGGTTACGTTCTCTTCGTCTAGCATCTCGTCGGTTTTCTTCTTCCAAAAATCGATTCCGATGCGGCCTATTGTAAATATCAGAATTTGTAGAATGCTGTTGTGATGACATTGTAGAAACCAACGTCGCGAAATCATTAGTATGTGTGATCCCTTGATTATTTTCCTCCATAGATGCATTATTATTATTGCTAGAGTACGCGGTTTTAATTGGTGATGATGTAATTTGCGTAATATTTTCCGTTAAGCTAGTAAACATTGCTTGACGTGATTCCGGTGGAATTATTGCAAGTTGACTTTGTTTCAATAATGTTGCTGAGTTTGATTCGACAAATCCTTCAATAGTTTGATCTGGTTCCCGTTGTTGTTGTCCTAATATCGAATGCGTGATAGATGATGGATATACTGAAAGGTCATTGGGCGTTTCGGTGACTAGCAATCGTGGATTTATAAAAGGTGCGACAAAAGATGAATGTGGATTATAATCATAAACTGATGCTGCTTCACAAATTTCATTAGAGATCATAGGTGTACGAAAGTTGACAGGATATGGTGCATGTGTGATATAAGAATAATATTCTTGACAAAAAAAGTTTTGAAATTAGAAAATTTGGTTAACTTTATAAACTTTATTAGAGAAAACTTTGGAAAATGTAAAATTCAGCAAAGAATCTCGTTCTTACGTTTAAAAGGTGGATAAAACCCGTGATTATTATAAGAAAATGAATGATCGCTCTGGAGACAAAGTTGTTTAATCCTTTCTGGTGGGTTCCACCACGATATATCATTAACATCAGACATTTTTCTTGTGTAAAAGATTAAAAAATCAGTCTAATTAAATGTTACTTTAAAAATTTCACATCTTACTATTTCATGCATTTCGCGGACTAATTATTGACGAAAAAAAAAATTATTACCCGCATTAGATTGGGCTTCCGATAACGAACACGATCTTATGTTTCAGTTTTGCACGAGGTCTTATTTCATACTTACGTCAACACTTTGTCAACTTTCATGTATAAATTTATATATATATTTATATATCAAGGAATTGTTACGTTATGTCAGTTTTGAAATCGTAAAAAAAAAAAAAAATCATTCCATTTTTTCGTAATTAGTGTTCCAATCGATAAATTTTAATTTTATCAAGATTAATCCATAACCATGTGGTCTCCCTCTTTGGATCGTGTTTGTATTGGATCGTGTTTGTATTAACTAACAGTGATGATTGGATCACTTTTCGTCAATTATCAGCATTTAAAACGTCAGATAAATGTAATAAAAACTTCAACTTACAGTATTATGTCACATCGTCGCTATGGTTCATTACTATTTCCGAATAGAGTTCTACATGTCCGACACATGTTCGCGCCTAGCATAAATTTAATACACAAACACAACCTGATAATAATAATAATAATAATAATAGCTCTAATTGTAGCACTAGTATTTAACGTTAATTCAATCTAATAGTGCTGGGTGAGTCAACTGTTTTTTACTAATTATTATATGTATCACTACAAAGATTCCAAATATATCTTATGTGAATGAGACATATTTGGAATTTCTGTAGTATTATATATAAAAGTATAACCAACAATTACTCTTTATAGAAGAAAGATAAACAGATTACATATCAATATTACTTTTTTAACAATCATTTTTGCTAACAGGCTATTAAACTGATATCATGTCAGATAATAATTTACCAACAATATATAGCTAATATTAAATGATTTGTGATTGTTGAAGTAAATAGCTACTACATAAAAGTTATTATATAACAAAAAATAAATTTAGTACCTAGTATAAAATTTATTTTATATATTAATATATATTATTAATATTATATATAGTGCTTAGAGTTTTATTCAAGAATTATTTTTAAAATTGAATAGTATCAATAGTATTAGAAACTATTTTAGCAATTTTATTAATAAGAAAATATTATATTTAATAATAGTCAATTATTTATTATAATAAAATAATTATAATTATTAAAGCTATTTATCAATTATAGTTGTTAGATAAAATTTATAAATTTTATTAATAAAAGATTATTTAAATATATAACAGATAATATCATTTTATTTATATTTAAAAAATACTATAAATCATTAAATTAAATCTATTCTTTTTTAAGCTCTTTGATTATTTCACTTTACAATTTTTACTAGCTATGCTTTGACATTTTGGTCAATAATAGTATTTATAAGATATGCAATGCTTTTTACAAATATATTTTTAGAATTTTAGTAACTTAATAAAGTATATCTGTTTATATTTCTTGTAATAAAATATTTATATTTTTTGCTATTTGTTTTTTATCATAATTCTATTTAAAAATCTATTAATTCTATAAATATTAGTAGAAATTTATAAGCATCAAGCTTCTTTTTTTGTAATAAAATTAGTAAATACATTTTTAATCAATGCATCTTTGTTTAAATTCTAATGTTAACCTTTTGTTTTTATTAAATTTAATTATATAATTATTGTTTTTGTTAAATTTAATTATATAATTATTGTTTTTTATAAATATATTATTTTTTATAAATAAAGTTTATATAAATATATATATTATAATAATTAATTTTAATTATAAATATTTGGTTGATTATATAGCTTTAATTGTAAATTTTAATAGATTAAATCAACTTAAATTATAATAAAATTAACTAATTCAAATATAATAATTAATTAATTAATTAATTAATAAAAATGATATAAATATTTTTATTAATTTAATACTTAAATATACTCTTTACTTATTTTTAAATATTAGATTATTATAAATTATAATGAGATATTTGACAAAATTATCTTTATTAATTTGAGATATAAAAATAGATAAAGAAATTAATGTTTATTTTTAAGGTATATAATAATCTGTTCAAGTTTATAAATATTTACTATTTAATTTATTTTATTAATATTAACTAGTTGGTAAATATTAAAAAATTATTTGTATTTAAATTTTAAATTATAATTAATTTATATAAACTTGTAGAAAAAATAAATAAAAATTTTATTTTGTATTTTTATAATATAGTCAAATATACAAAAAATTATTATAAACTCTTTTTAATAATTTTTAATTAATAATAATAAAACACTAAACTACAACCCATATTATAAAATTACTAGAAATAAACAATATTCTTGATTACATATAAAATAGATTGTTGTTAATAAAGCTTAAAAATATGAAATACTGTATTAAAGAACAAGTATCCTTCAAGTTAATATATGTACAATATATATATGTATACAATTTTTTTAGTATACACAATTTTTTAAATTGGATATGCATGTATATACAAAAATTTTTTTAATTAATATATAAGTTGTGTATAATTTTATATATAAATTTTTAAATATTTATGGATTTATGGATTCATGTCTTATGTCCCTTTAGGAATTTATCAGATAGATGTTATAGTTAGTGGTGTATTATGTCATAATGTCAGCAATAACAACCAGACAAAACCTTTTGGCATTTATCAATTTGATGACAACTAGCAGTCTGAAATAGGACCTGAATTTATCCCTGAACCCAGCTGTGGATCTGGATTTAATAGTAACAATAATCCTTTGAATTGTTCACCCGGCTTACGAATTTTCAGACAGAATATGAAAGGTAGGATCGTGATCAAAGTACCATAACCGATTAATATATCACGACCGATCAAAACATAATTCGATCAACACATCGACTCGTCAGAAATTATAGCAAATCAGTATGATATAGGTAGGGATGTGAAAAGCCCGGTCCGGTTTCGACTCGACTTCAAAGGTCAAATCTTTGTTAAAGTTCGGTCCCAAGTCAGACTTGGGACTTCAATTCGCATCTGCACGTGCATCTAGTATATTTAAAAAATGTGAATGCATGCGTGAGTTGAAGTCCCCAGTCTGACTTGGGCCGAACTTTAACAAAGACTCGACTTTTGGAGTCGAGTCGGGACCGGACTAGAGATGCCGTAGAATCGTCCCAATGAAGTCGAATGATAGTTGTCACATGGCTGTAACTTGCCGTAACTATAGTAAGTAACATAGTAAAGTTACGACATTATAGCCGTAACTTGACTTATTATTTACTATAGTTACGGCATGTGACAACTATCATTCAACTTCATTGGGACGATTCTACGGCATCACTAGACCGGACTGGACTTTTCACATCCCTACGTACGCATAAAGCTGTCAAATTACGTATAAGGGTAACAGTCAAATTATGTACGTACGTATAAGTTCGTATTGAATCATCGGTTATACTTACGTACGTACGTAAATACACCAAAAAATGGGTTGTATTTTATTTATTCCGTAATATTATGATTGATTGGTTAGAACATGTTTTCTAATCAGTTCGATCTTATCAACCACGTCTCTGCAACTGAAACAAACGAAAAACTTTGCTTCTAATCGGCTGATCAAGTAATATACCCATTTAAAGTATCAGGAGGAATCTATAATTAAATAAACTATGAGCGATTCATACTCACATAAAAATAACTCATTCATCACTATTTTTGCCTCACATAAGATTATTCTTTTTTTTTACATCAAAAATCATTACGTATGGATAATTATTTTTGAATCCAGACCAAAAAATGTTAATTACGTCATACATAAAATTGGTCTGAAAATAATTACCCATATCATATGTACAAGTCATAAAGCGATCAATTTTTCTTTAAAATAAAACGCTAAGCAATCATTCATATTAAACCAAACGTTATTTCAACTGGCTTATTCAGTTAATAGTAGTAATAAAAAAAAAAAAAAAAAAAACGATTTTATTACGACGTAAGCGGAATTTATATTCTGCTTATTGAATCAAATTCTACCTATATAGTTATTATCAAAATACAGTATATAAAAATTTTTTAAGTTTTCAAAATTTGGCCCGGCCGGGTTATTAATTTTGCTTGTGTACGATTCAAGATTAAAACAGATAATAACAATCAAACCAGTTTGCTTATAATCGTACGAATACTTTGCTCTTTATGAATTAGGGATTTTAAATTATCAATATATCGGGTCAGTAAAAAAAATCGAATAAAAAAAAATGTAAAACAAAACAAAATTAACCGAAAGGTATCTACAAAAAGCTATTCATTTGCCCAAAATATTGTTAAAAATTTGTCATTCTCTTATGCTCTGCTCTGTTGTAGCACAGCAAGAGCAAGACTAACTATACAACACTTTCATTGCGATGCAGTAAATCTCCTTTTTAGACCTAATAAAAGCAAAACAGCAAACCCACATTTCACCAAACTTAGATCACATTATCGTTATTGGTGCACTAACATATTTGCTTATAATCGTATGAACGCTTCGTTTATAAAGTAGAAATTTAGATTACCAATTCATCAAGGTGGCAAAAAATCCGATCGAAAAAAAGAATATAAAGCAGAAAATAACAAAATTGGTTACAAAAAACCATTTATATTTTTGACGTGCTATCAAAAAATTTGTACATTTTCTTACAATACATCTGCAAAATTTTCTAGTGCTCTTGAC